GGGGGGGGGGGGGGGGGGGGGGGGGGGGGGGGGGGGGGGGGGGGGGGGGCCCTAGCTAGAATCAGGATGGGGCTGGTCACCAGAAAGACCAAGTGTTTAGAGCGTTGGAAATTTCAGCCCCACCCACTGACCTCAGGGAAGGTGGTGAGCTGAATATTAAGCTCTATAAAAACTCGTGAACAACAATATTTGATGAGCTTCTGGGTTGGTGAAAGCACCCATAAGCCAGGAAGGTGGCACACCCCAGTTCTACAGTGACAGAAGCACCTGCACTTGACTTAACCCTAGGTATCTCTCAACCTGACTGTTCATATATATCCTTTATAATATCCTTTGTAATAAACTGGTAAATGTATTAGTTCTGTGAACTGCTCTAGCAAATGAATCGAACCTGAGGAGTGGGTCCTGGGAACCACCAATTTATAGCCAGTTGTTCAGAGCACAGGTAGCAACCTGGACTTGTAATTTGTCTCTGAAGTAAGGGCAGTCTTTTGGGACTGAGCCCTTAACTTGGAGGTCCAACACTATTTCTGGGTAGAAAGTGTCAGAATTGAGTCAAATTTGTAGGAAACTCAGTTGCTGTCCGCTGAGAATTGGCAAATTGCTTGTTGGTGTAGAAAAAATACATCAAACCATGCATATCGGTCAACTAAAACTTGACAAGGGAGCTGAAAACACTCAATAGGGCAAGGATAGAGTCTTCAATAAATGCTGTTGGGAAAACAGGTTATTAACATACAAAAGAATGAAATTGGACCCCTCTCTTAAACCACTCACAAAAATTAACTTAAAATAGATTAAACACTTAAATGTAATACCTGAAACCATAAGACTCATAGAAAAAAATGTAAAAAGCTCCTTGGCTCTGGTGTTGGCAATTATTTTTTGGATATGACACCAAAAGCACAAGCAACAAAAGCAAAAATCAACAAGTGGGACTACATCAAACTAAAAAGCTTCTTTTAAGTTAAGTTAAGGAAACAATCAACAAAATGAAAAGACAACTTATGGAATGGGAGAAAATATTTGCAAACCATCTATCTGATAAGGGTTAACAGCCAAAATATATGAGACTCATACAACTCAATAGCAAAGAATAATAATAATAATAATCTGATTTTAAAAAGGGCGAAGGACCTGAATAGACAAGTAACACACACAAATGGCCAACAGGTACATGAAAAGGTTGTCAACATCACTAATCATCAGGAAAATGCAAATCAAAAGGGCAATGAGATATCACCTCACACCTGTTCGAACGTCTGTTATCAAAAAGACAAGAGAAAACAAGTGTTGGCAAGGTTGTGGGGAAAAGGAACCCTTGTGCACTTTTGGTGGGAATGTAAATTGGCACAGCCACTATAGAAAACAACCAGGTTCCTCAAAAAATTAAAAGTAGAGCTAACATATGATCCAACAATTTCACTTCTGAGAATATATCCACAGGAAATGAAAACACATCTCGAAGAGATAGCTACACACCCATGTTCATTGTATCATTATTCACAATAGCCAAGAAATGGAAACAACCTAAGTGTCTGTTAACGGATGAATGGATAAAGAAGATGCGGTATATGGATAAAGAGAACAGATTAGTGGTTACCAGAAGGGAAGGGGGGTGGGTGAAAGAGGTAGAGGGGCACATATGTATGGTGACAGACAAAAATTAGACTATTGGTGGTGAGCACAATGCAATCCATACAGAGATTGATATATAATAATGCACCCCTAAAATTTTTACAATGTTATAAGCCAATATGACTTGAATTTAAAAAATTGAAAAAAAAAAAGATGTGATATATATTTATACAATGGAATGTTATTCAGTCACAAAAAAAGAAAGAAATCTTGCCATTGGCCACAACATGGATGAAGCTTGAGGGCATTATCCTAAATGAAATGTGAGACAGAGAAGGACAAATATTGTATGATCTCACGTATATGTGAAATCTGAAACAGCTGAACTCATAGAAAGAGTAGATTGGTAGTTGCCAGGGACTGAGAGTGGGGGAAATGGGTGAGGTTGGTCCAAGTGCACAAACTTCCCAAAGAACTTCTGGGGATGTAAAGTACAGCACACTGATTATAGTTAACAATACTGTATTGTAGACTTCAAAGTTGCTAAGAGAGTAGATCTTAAGTGTTCTCACCACATACACACAAAAAGGTAACTAAGTAAGGTGATAGATGTGTTAATGTATCTTATTGTGGTAATCATTTCACAATATATAAGTAATATATGTATATCAAAACATCGCATTGCACACCTTAAACTTACACAATAGTATATGTCAATTATATCTCAACAAAGGTGGGGAAAAAGGGGGGGGGATAATTTCTGATTACAAGTAAGGAATATTTTCCTTAAAAAATAATATAAGGGACTGACCTATCTGGACATTCTACAGAACATCACATTGGTCCAACATATTGATAACATCACATTATTAGACTCTGATGAGCGAGAAGTGGAATGTACTCTGGATGCTTTGGTTACATGAATGCATCCCAATGGTAGGTAGTTAAAGCTATTCAAAGATTCAGAGGCCTGCCACAGTGGTAAAGTTTGAGGGACCCAGTGGTCTGGGGCATGATGGAACAGCCTCTCGAATGTAAAGGACAGGTTATTGCAGCTTGTACCCACTGTCACTAAGAAAGAAGCACCAGATGTGGTAGCTCTCTTCAGGTTATTCCATACTATGGCAGCATATTCCATACTATGGCAATATTGTTCTGGCCTGTACATCACGTGACATGAAAGTTTGCTAGTTTTCAGTGGAACTCAAAACAGCAGGTCCAGGCTACAATATAAGTAGCCCTTTTACTTAGGCCATCTGACACAGCAGATATCACAGTACTAAAGGTATATGTGGCAGGAAAGCTGCCGTGTAGAATCTGGCAATTCCCAATAGGAGGGTCTTCAACGCAGACCTGTAGGCCTCTGCAGCAATGAGCATGGCCACCTGCTGGAGAGAACTATACAGCATTCAACACACAGCTCCCGGAATGTTGCTGGGCCCTGGGAGAGATGGAGGATCTGATCATGGGACATCAAAGGACCATTGACTATATATGCCTTTCATGATCTGGGTACTGTCAGACGCTAGCAACAATCCACTCTAAGATGTAAGGGATACATCCAGGTT